CCCCCCCCCCCCTCATAAAATATATTTTTTGTGTTCCACAGACAAAAAGAAAGTTATATGATTTTGAAACGATATGAGGGTGAGAAAATGTTGACAAAATTTTCATTTTTGGAGGAACTATCACTTTAGTGTCAAATACAGCATACAACAATCATTCTAATAACACACATTCATTAATGTGGAAATGTCGCTACGTAGATCCTCTGTTTGGTAAATCAACTGAAATATATCGCAAAATAATCTCTTTATCATCCCAGTTACCTCGTTTGCAGTCGCTGTTCTACTTTTTTTCCTCAGTCACTTAAAGAACAATAACGTACAATTTTGAAGTATTTCGAAACACTTGAAACTCGGCACGCTGAAGACAGTTGCTGTGTGCAAATAAAATGATTTTATTAACGTAAGTAATAAAACAATATGTTTTTTTTTAGCCCACATTTTAGCCCCAAGGCTAAAATGTGTAGGCTTATGTATATCACTTTGGATCAATGCTGAATGTGTAAATGTAAATGTGTCAAACCAGGTGCAATACTAAATAAGCCACGTTTCTGACTTTTTATTGCACATATTGTAAGTTGCTTTATGTTTTTATTTTATTATAGCTCTAATATTTTGATGTGAATAAGCAGATAATTTGCCAGCTTTCAATATTCACTAAAAGCTGTGTTGCAGAACGCTGTTAAAGCCCACTCCTTCCATTCATCCTTTGAATGGTGTTCTCTTATACGTTTTCAATTTGCTATGGGAAATTGAGCATAAAAGAAGAGCATTGCTGCCATTTTTACAACTTCCTTTTCCATTGTGTGAAGGGATAAAAGGGCAGACCGATTTATTCATGATGTAAAGAATCCAATCCCAGGCCCTGAGCCATTGAGCAAGATCTAGGGTACAGTGAATTTCAACTTTCAGTCAGAAAACGTCCTGAAAATGTATGCAGCACGATGCTTGACTGAGCTTTTTCAGGGAGGTTTTGGCAGAGGCACATTTTTGGCAGTGAAATGTGAATGAAAAGGTCATGAGGGAATCGGCGGCGTGCGCTCCAGAGGACTTAGAGAGAGGCAGAACTGATGGCTAACTTTAGTAAAGTGTCTCTGCTCATCAGAGTAGAATCAAAAAGAATCTTTGAAACAAAACACACATTTTCCTTCTATTCATCTCACTCCTTCCTTCAGTGGTTCGTGCTTGTGTTCTTCTGCCTGGAAAGTTCAGATTCTCTGATGGCAAAAGTGCGGCTCTGCATGCTTAAAAGGGAAATGACGTTTATTTCTGAAATGATACAAATCTTTGCTTCCAGACTCACCCTGCATAACGCGCATGCACACTTGTCTGATGTGTTGATCACTTGGTTCTTTACCCTGTAAACACAGGAGGAGTTGTTTGGAAGAAAATCACACAAATTCTGACTGTATTCTGATCATTTCATCTCATTTCAGACCACTAATTAGCTCTGCCTCCGAAAATAACAAAGAAAGAAATTGGAATTGGAATGAAGTGTTTTTAAAAGCTGCAGAATGTTTCACAGTACTGTTTTTCTTGATACCTTTCCAAACGTAATGAGTATGTACAACAAAATGCTGAAAAACTACAGGGTTTCCACACATTTTGGCAACTGACTTTTTAGTTTCTAAAACTTTCCTGTCATTCATGATTACTGGATAAGGATTAATGATATTCATTTTATGATTGCACTCACAAACAGCATTTTTAGCCAATTAAACATGTTTTGACTTAAGCATAACAGAACAAAGTTATAGTCACTATAGACACCTTACAGGACTAGAAAATAGTTTTCATGATATTTAAAAGTTTTCAATGACTGTAAGAACCCTGTACCTATAATAATCATTTTTTCTCTGGTCTTGATGTCAAAATGTGAACATGTGAACAATATAGCTACCAAAATTTCATAATAAAAACACATTAACACATTGAATAAGCTAACAGAATAGCAATATAACCATGTCCTGTTCAACCACTACCATTGAAAAGTTTATGGTCAGTAAGAATTCATTAACAATTTTTTAAAACTCTCTTCTACTCACCAAGGCTGCATTAATTTGATCAAAAAATACAGTAAAACAGTAATATTGTGAAACATTATTACAATCTTAAGTAAATGTTTTAAAAACAGGTGTGCTGCTTAATATAAACAGCATTTATTTGAAATATTATCTCTACTTTCACTTTTGATCAATATAATGCATTCTTGCTGAATAAAAGTATTAATTTCTTCTTTAAAAAAATCATTCTGACCCCAAACTTTTGAACTGTAGTGGACATGCAAAGTGAAATCATGATAATGTGCAACAAAACAATGAAAATTACCAAGAAAAATGTCTTAAAAAGCAGATAGAATATTGATAATGCACATTTATATGTGAAGAGAGATTTGGGTGACAGGCAAATCTTTTTTTATTTTTATAACCGTAGACAGTCTTGGTTTATGAAGTGTAATTGCTAATCACTCTATCTTTGAAAGGTTGATAACGTACCGCTGGTCCCTGGGTGCCACGAGGTCCTGGAGCTCCTCTGTTCCCCTGCATGCCACGTGGTCCAGGACTACCAGGAGGCCCCTCAATGCCAGGCTGCCCACGGGCACCCTCTGGTCCTCTATTACCCGGATCCCCCTGGTTACCAACCTGAATTTACACCAGAGATGTAAGTATACATACATAGATGTAATACTAGTGTCTTCGTATAGTAAATCGTTTCAATACAGTGTCATATCTGAGGGCTAGAGTGAGCTGAGATAAAGCCAAAGAATATTTCCATGGATATCTGTAATCAGAGCCAACTGCCTAATAGACCGTCGTCAAAAATTCATAAATATTCAAGAAAGAATAGTGATCCAAAACTCACTTCGCCTTTAGCTCCAGATTGGCCAGGGTCACCCTAAGTGTAGAAACAGCAAGAGAAGTAAAGTGCACTACAATATCTCAAAAATCTCAGTGTACATTAGCTTACTGTATTCTTATTATTTTTTTTAGCTATGCAGTTCAGAGCTACTCACAACATCTCCCTTGTCTCCTGGTGTTCCCTCGTCACCTTGAGCGCCCTACAATAAAACACATGACCAATTCATATGCATAAGTTCTGTTATTGTAAAACGTCTTGAATGGATAGTTTTGGTTATAAATTGAGTCTTTCTTACATTCGTTTTGAAGGTATCCGCAACCCTCTACGGACACCTTGGCAATTGAATCGCCATTGGCTAGTAAATTTTTTTGTTTACTTGCCAGACTGATATATATATATAATACAATTAGAATTAAAACTTGATAACCATGTATGAATGCATATTAGTCATTTTAACTGAACTTAGGACTGGTGGTGGTGCTTTTTTTGTCATTCAGTGTTTCTGTAAAAAAAATTGGGCAAAAACTAACAAAAATACTGATAAGATAATAATGATACGAATTCTACTAATAAGTACAATATAAAACACACTAAGGATTAATGAGCTGCTGGTTTCATGAATATTAATCAGGTTATGTGCATTCGCTCAAACTGATTTGCTGAAATCAAAACAGGGACGATAATAGTAAGAAACGATAATAATTGCGAGAAGAATTTCAAAAGGAACACTATTATTTTGACAGGAAAATACAACAAAGAATATCGTTTACATGTAGCGCATCAATTCTCTCTTTCTCTCTCTCTCTCTACGTGTGTGTGAGACACTCTAGAGTTTACGGTACGTCAAATACAGGTGCGCTGCACATCCATTTCAGATGAACTGAAAAATAGCACAGATCGGTTGACGGAGAGTGAAACTTTGAAGCGTTCAGTCTGAGAGTGTACGGCGAGTGAAAATATATCTGTGCTAAACTTACTTAGCCTCCAACTCACACACTGGCGAGTAAAATCGTAAATCGTATATTTAGTCGCATATGCGAGTGATTTACTCGCAATGTAGAGGGTTGATCCGATGTATTCAGTTTAGTTCTGCAGTGCAGTATCTGCTGATAATGTGAATCATGCTCTTACCTGTTCTCCCTTTGGTCCAGGTTCTCCTGCTCCACCCTGTGTAATATCACATACAGAAATTCATTCCCTTGAATATTTAACTGAAAGTATGTGTCTGAAGAGTTCATTATAACAACAGTTATGCAATAATGTACGTTCAGCATTTTGCTCTTTCTATAAATCCTACATCTGTTAGAGGTGCTCAAGTTCTTTTTTTAAATGCATTAAGGAAATCATTGAGTCTAAAATGGTCCAATTTGATTTTCAAAAGCCTCATTGTACTTTCAAAGCTTTTTAAACTTTAAAACACCAATGGGAGCACATAATAATTGCTTAAAGGCTAGAAAAGTAGAACCCTCACTGTCTAATTAAGCAAGAACAGTGAATATAAAGAGGTTAGCTGTTTTTTAAAGAGCTGCAGATGACTTTTTGTAATAGTTACAGGGATGTTGATGTAACAGAACTCCAAGTACACTTTGCTGTTCCTTAATAAATCAGATTTCCTGATTGCAACAAGTCAGGGTGCATGGGTTTTTATCAGTTCACCAGGGAACAAAATCATGTTGAAAAAGTTAAGAGCAATTTAAAGAGATTGTTTTGAGATATTTTGAGATTACAAAAATCTCTTCAAATGTGGTAGGCAGAGACATCCTCACCCTATCTCCTTTTATTCCTGGCAGGCCCGGTGGTCCAGGAAGTCCAGGCAAGCCCAAGTCACCTTTAGGACCCTGAAAATACAAACAATGTAAGATGACATGCAGTATGAGTCTGGGATTTACTGTAAAATTATGGTTGATGTATTTTATATTCCTTCCTGCCCCACTGCAGGATCTCCAAACAGATGGCAAAGGTTCAAATACCTTTGTCAACAAAGAGCAAAGACTGCAGAATCCTTTAGTTCCCCTGCAAAAACACTCTCATGCATTTTTAAAAAGAGAGTGCGGTCTGAGAAAACGCAAGATCAGGACAAAGTGGCAAATGCTGATAAATTTGGTATGTGGATGTACACCAGTGTTTCCTGCACTGCTGATTTAATCTACAGTTACATACCTGTATGTTCCAAGCCTATATGTTTTAACAGAAATTCACTGTCCAACTGAGTCATTCAGTGGAATGCGTTTTTTTAATTGAATCTTTTTTTTTTTAATTCTACAGATCTGCCAAAAGAGTGTTTTGTCATTATAAATGATATTTTATTGTAAATCAATTAATTAATCAAACAATCAATAAGTACCACAAAAACCAGTCTTAAGTCGCTGGGGTATATTTGTAGCAATAGCCAAAAATACATTGTATGGGTCAAAATGATAAATTTTTCTTTTATGCCAAAAATCATTAGGATATTAAGTAAAGATCATGTACCATGAAGATATTTTGTAAATTTCCTACCGTAAATATATCAAAACTTAATTTTTGATTAGTAATATGCATTGCTAAGGACTTCATTTGGACAACTTTAAAAGACGATTTTCTCAATATTTTGATTTTTTTCGCACCCTCAGATTTCTAGATTTTCTATATAGTTGTATCTCGGCCAAATATTGTCATATCCTAACAAACCATACATCAATGGAAAGCTTATTTATTCAGCTTTCAGATGATGTATAAATCTCAATTTTGAAAAATGTACACTGAAGACTGGTTTTGTGGTCCAGGGTCACATATATATATATATATATATATATATATATATAACAGAAAATAACTAAGCAGGATAATTCTATACAATTCTATACATTATAACCACTGAATATGTAGATATAAATCTGAATATATAGTTGAAATTTGAATATATATTTATGAATTTGGATATATAAATGTTCATTTAAATACATGTTTGTAAATACTGCATTTCAAAGTTGTGTCATGAAATGATGGTTTCTGCGATTCTTAAAAAGTCTTAATTCCACAAATTGGGGCCTTAAGCAGAAAGTGTAAAATTCAAGTTGTGGCATTAAATGTTGCATGAAAAAAAAATCTTCCTCAGTATTTTTGTTATCTAAAATTTTTTGTTACCAAATATCAAAACATCCTTAAATCAAGATACATTTACTTGGGATGCAAATGGAACATATGAAGTCTTGTTTTCTAAGAAATTAAACAATTGTTATTGTAAATTGTTATGCAATGAGCCCATTGGCAAATATTTGTTCTTGTTATAATCATAAACTCACTTCATTTTGATCAATTTCTCGTGAAACAAGACTACTTATTTCATGTAATTTTCTCATGTAAATGCATCCTGATTTAAGAATCTTTATACATTTGCACTGGAAAACAAGACAAATATATAAAATATATAAAAAAACAGGTTGAACATCACTTTTTGCACTTTTTTGCAGTGTGAGCAGAAGATACAGTAAATGTTATTTCCATATTCCAGTGTTCAGTAGCAGAACTATTCAAGACTTAAGCTTTTTTTTTTAAGTAATGGAGATCTATTGGAAGTTGTATTTTCAAGCTTTGAGCTGTTGCTAATAAAAGACATTGTGTGTTCCATTCCATTTTCCCTTTTTTCCCTTTCCATTTTTCCTTTTTTAAACTTCATACAACCTGCTGAAATCCTGTATTCTTAATTTAGAAAAATTATAAGGTTACAAATTATTTACAATATTGACATAATCATGTTTAAATATTTGAAGTGTGATGGTGAGTGTTTGTGTGTGTAGATATGTGTGTGCTCATGGGAATGGCAGGGGAACAGAGGCTGTTTGAGAGACACTGCTGTGAGACATTCTTTTGACTGTTTACTCTTTACTGTGAAAGCTGTGAGGTGAAATCCCATTCAAGAGAGAAACTGCTGGCTCCAATCTCTTCCATGGGCCACAGCATGAAGTTTCCCTTCTTACCCGCAGTGTCTGCATTTCAGTACTATGAATATTTGCCTTGGTTTGACCCTCAAATTAGCATAATATAAAAGTCATGAATTCCCCTAAAAGACTATTAGTGAAAAGTTTTTTGAATTCACTGCGCACCAAACCATCTAAATAAGTAAAAGCGATTGAGTTTAGCGGATGTCAAAATGACTTGCTTTCTCTTTGAACACAGGGATAATAGAATAATTTAAATGTAATGCTGCCTATGACTTGTTTTGAACTTTGGGTTTGCTGCCAGCATATAGGAAAGAAAATTTGCAAATGAGATCTCTTTAATGTTAGTAGTTTCTCTAACACAGCAAAAAATCATTTTCTTATTCAGTATGTTTGTCTCATTTTCCAGTAACTAAATATCTAAACATCCTTAATACAAGACGAATTTACTTGACAAGCAAAACTGCGACATTTTCTCCTTTTTAGAAATAAATAAATAAATAAGTTTAGTATGTTTCAATATAAAACAAGAAACAACAACTTACCAATGATGCTAAAAAAAAACTACGAAAAACTTAAATTAAAAAAATATATATTTCACTTCGCAGTCGAAATGAATGTGATTTATGGATGTTATAATATTTGTTTTGGACAAAAGGCAAACAATACTGATTAAGATCGATTATTTTTTGCAGTGTAGACAAAACGGTAAGACATATGAAACCTGAAGTCTACTGCTTCTTGGATATTTCTGCACATAAAATCTGACTTTTCAATTTGAACTCCAACATTTCTCATTAAACCCTTTCAGAAGCAAATCATCTGAACTATACTATCCACATTAATTGTATAGCTAGCAAATATTTGATATAATTTGTGTCTATTTTTATTTCTTTTTAAGGAGAACCATCTAAAACCGGGTGTTATGCTGAGCCTCAAAGAGAAACATCGGAGCAACGAAGGCAACTTTAGGACCCCCATCTCTCTACAGGCAAGGGCTTTTACTTTGTTCAGTAATTTGCATGATGAAAGTAAAGTACAGAAGATGCTTGCTTTGAAACCACAACCATATCATTATACAGATTATGCACTTACTCTGGCTCCTGGTTTTCCCATCGGCCCAGGTGGCCCATGCTCTCCTCGGTCTCCCTAAACAGAAGGAAACTATCATCATTTGGGAAATATTCCTGGGTGAGTAAACACAGACACATCCAGCCTATCCATTAGCTGTTATTCATACTGCATTGGGTACTCACAGGTTGTCCAATAGGCCCAATGGGTCCAAATTCTCCTTGTTCTCCACGTTCACCCTGAACAGAGACATTTAGTGTCAGATAATCTATTCCTGCACACTAATGGCAAAGCCATTGGATGGTTTACCTACCGGTTTACCTGCAGATCCCATAGTACCGATGAGGCCCGGTTGTCCTGAATTACCCTGTAATTGGAGCAAGTATATCATATAGTGTTCATAATAACCTACAGGCAGAGTAGGATTGTGCGTGACATAGTAGCTTAAAGCATAAAAGTAGCTTAAAATGGCATCAAATTGAAAATTGCAAAAATAATAAGCCAATGTTTCTGTTTTGGGCCACTGAAACAAACAATGCTAAATGAGCCACAGTGACACACATTTCAGAAGAAAAAACAACAACTAGGGTTGCACAATACATTGCTATTATATCAGTTATTGGCTGATGATACAGATTTTTTTTATTTATTTATTGGCAAATATTGGATTAGCTGATATTGGATATTTTGTTTTGCACACTCATTTCCGTATTTTTTTCATATACAATATATTATCTTAAAATCTGTTGTCTTAATTACACTAATCTTTAAATCTTAAAAAAACTAATATTTTTCATTATAAAATAACACTTAAATGTAGTCCTTAACAAATTTCAAAATGAATATATACTATATATTATAATTTTGTAATGCCCAAATTCACTTGTAGCACTTCAAATGGTTGATTTTAGTTTTTAGTGTTTTGTAAATGTATTTAGACAAAAAGTATAGTAAGTAAAGTAAGCCATAACTTTAAAATAATTATCAGAGTATCTGTATCAGCCAGAATGTTAATATTGGCAAAATGCTAAAACCAACCTACAAATGGCTTTTTTTTTTTTTTGTCTTTGAATATAAAAACTTAGATGGGAGAAAACATCTTGAAATAAAAATAGCAGCTTCAGCTTTAACAGCCTGTGGTTCTGAGACATAAGGAAAATAATTTTTGCTTCATTGTCCTGAAAAAAACTTTTGTCAGTTCAGGGTGTTAAAAAATGAGATGACTTTGCACCGAGCACAGATACATTTAGCAACATCTCTCACCTTCTCTCCACCTCCACCTTTTGGTCCTGGGCTTCCTGGTAAACCCTGCAGACATGAAATAAAAGTCACTAAATATCAAAATGCAGTTGTCAAGGCTACATCTCCTGAAGGAAGTAAAACGCCTTCTCTTTGTTCTGTTAGATCAAAGACAAATCCAAGGGGTGGATTTGAACAGTCTCAAAATTAATGATTTTCTCAACAACAACAAAAAAAAGTCTCAAAAATTAGTCATGAAGACCTGACATCATGCTGGATAAAGTCAGAAGTATTTTATAATCTTGCCCTGCCATGAAATGGAGCACAAATTTGAAATCGAAATAAATTATTGACATTTTTATCTGCTTAATAGCTTTAAAGGAGACAGGTTGAACATGACATGAGACAAAAAGTTCAGAATTCAACTATGCATGTCTGACAAGGATAAAATAAAAGTGACTCATTGTACTGCATCCTGTAGAAAGAAAGTGAAAGTTCGCATACACTACCATTTAAAGTTAACTTTTTAAGGTTTTTGAAAGAAGTCACTTATGCTAACCAAGTCTGCATTTATTTGATCAAAAATACAATAGAACAGTAATAATGTGAAATATTTCAATCTAAAAAAAAGCACAAAAAAACCTTACTGAGCTCAAACCATTAAACATTTGCATACTGTATTTGAACTTTATTATTCTCTGGCAAATGTTTTTGACCTTCTTCACAGTCTGAATACATTTCTTTATTTCTACATTAAGACTTACAGGGAGTCCTTGAAGTCCAACTTCCCCAGGGCTTCCAGGTTTTCCGGCAGCACCCTGTAATAAGTTTAAAAAAAAAACGCCATTATTACCACTGTCATTCTTTTTACATGGCCATGTTTGAATGACGAAAGCCAGAATTTGCTGTACCTTGGCACCTGGCATGCCAGGGATTCCCTCACGTCCATCCACACCTGGAAAACCCTGGAGAAAAACACAGATTGGTGCTGTTTGGATGCATGCAAGTAAGTCTTTAAGTAAATCCTTTTATTTACTCTGACAAAAAGTACCATACTGCCATATTTTTCATGCTGTTACCATCTGACACCATCACTGTACCATGGTACCAGCCACATTTTTCTGCATTTTCATTAAAGGAAGTGTACGTTTATTTATATGGTAAACCACATACACTGTCTCCCTTTGGCCCTGGAAGACCAGTGTTGCCTCTTGTCCCTTGAGGTCCCTGCAGAAAGAGATAATATCATTAAATCGGATTAATTCAAATCAATGCGTATTACCCTTAGAATGATAGGATATAGCCAAATAGGGCATGTTCTTGGATCAACGTTGGTGGGTTGTTTGAATGTTATTCCAGGACTAACAAGGATGTTGATCCTGGATCATGTCCTACTTGGCTAAATCCCATTTAGGATCCAGTTTATCATGGGCAACTTCTCAAAGGCTAATTTAATAAACAAAAACCTCTTAAACTTAAACTTTTTGTTGCTATAATGATAGTTATACACATACCTGTTCGCCTTTAGGGCCAGTTTCTCCCATTACTCCTCTTTGGCCTCGATCCCCCTAGATAAAAAGAAGCACACTCCACAGATATCTGCTAATATTGATTTGTTTATTTACACCCAAGGCTCAGGACATCATCTTCAAGTCATGCCCACTGCTGAAACAGACTGTCGAACAAAGCAGAACTTTCCTGTTTCATGATTGGTTACAGCTTTAGATTAGATTGGTTTCGTTTGAAGAACTTACCATGGCTCCTGCAACACCCTGAGGTCCAGGGTCCCCATCAACACCTCGAGGCCCCTGTAAAAAATAACAACATATTACTTATTTTTTTTTTGTATTACATTGTTTTCTCCGTTATCAGCTTTTTATGTCGGTTGAGGTGCTGCAGTATACCATCTAATGCCACTCTAAGTTTCTTTTTTTTGTATAAAAAGGGGATAGTTCTCCCAAAAATTAACATTTTGTCATCATGAGTTTCTTTCTTATGTTGAACATAGAAGATATTTTGAAGAATGCTGGTAATCAAACAGTTGATGGTCCCTATTGAGTTCAATAGTATTTCTTTCCCTACTATGGAAGTCAATGGGGACCAACAACTGTTTGGTTCTTCAAAATTCTTCAAAATATCTTTTATGTTTAACATAAAGAAACTCATGCAGGTTTGGAACAACATGAGGGTGAGTAAATGACAAAATGTTCATGTTTGGGTGAACTATTCCTTTAATTAGTAACATTTTGAGTCTCTAAATAGTAAACCCATAAAATATAAATGAGATTATGAGTTTTAGTTTCTATAAATGCATTCACAATGTAGTCTTTCCTTTCCATGGAAATGGACAAAAATATTGATTTCTCATCTAGTATGCACTAGGCTGTATACAAATATTTGTCCAATCAAATGCTCTCTAGAATGAGAATGTCCCTCTCCCTGATGCCACATGCTTTTACTATGTTGTGACAAACTAAAGACAACTGAATATTTTAGATTTTAGAATATTTAAGAACAGGTAAAATATTATATTCCTCGACTGCTTATTTAATCGAAATCTTACCGTTTCTCCTTTGGAGCCAATCATACCAGTGGCACCTCGAATTCCCTGCGATCCCTGAGAGCACATAATCGAAACAAGACTTTAAGACCAGATCAAGATATAGCTACTGAATCAATTTAGTAATTTAGTGTAGATTGCTTAAATGAACAGGAAATGCACATACATTTGGGCCTTGAGCTCCGACCTCTCCAATTGCCCCCTGATCTCCCTCCTCTCCCTAAAAAGAGAAAGAAAGCTATTTTAGACACTGAAATCGTAAAAATCCTCAAAATACACAATGATTAGACAGACAGACAGATAGATAGATAGATAGATAGATAGATAGATAGTAAATTTTGTAAAGTTCTTACCTTGTGTCCTTGTTTTCCAGGCTCTCCAGCTTCTCCTTTCACCCCTTTATGACCCTGACAGTGGACAGGAGGACAGTTTATAAAATATATTATTTAAAATATATATTCAAAAGCATGGGCATTTATTATTTTTATATAATAATAATAATAATAATAATAATAATAATAATAATTTTATATGTATATTAATTTATCAAATGTATATTTTATTTTATACTTTATATTTTATTTACTTTAAATTTATATTAATTAATATCTATTACATTTTACTATATATTGATTTATATCAATTCCTTTTGAAATACTATCTACAGGAAAACTCACCTTCATTCCAGGCAAGCCAGGATGACCAGGAGCACCAGGTGGGCATGCGTTAGAGCACTTAACATCAGAAAAACAATTTAGAGTCATTTTATGTCACTCAATCCAGCCATATCTAATAGTCGTCTTGGAGCACTTTACTAACAACACATTGTTTATCACAACATATTTCAACGTGGATGTTGAAAACAATATGGCTTTCATATGGTTTGCAACAAAAGGTTTGATGGAGCACCTAGTAGAATTTCCTCTTACCAGTTCCATTGTTCCACCCAGCATCCCTGCAGCACCCTGTAAACACATTCACTTTAGAACAGTTTGCACCCAGTTTGAAGGAAATAAAGGGCAATTAGTTGATTAAGGAAGCAATTGGGACACCCTGTTGTTTCATAATTATAACTGCTGCTCTACATGATGTTCCCTGTGTATACTGATGTCTCAGTCGTACATTCTAAACTGAACATGTACAGTTTTTACCTTATATTATCTACCTTATAATCTTGTACCTTATTATCTAACATAATACTTATGTCTACTATGATCTGACTTTTTAAAATGACTTTTTGTTGGTGTAACATAATGAAGTCAGGATAATTCATGATAAGTCATGATTCATATTTTTCTCCTAAGATGAAACGGATGAAAGGTCACAGCCCTTGTGTAACTCTTGAAACATCACAGCAATACTCACACGGGGGCCTGTTGGTCCACGGGGTCCCTGTGGCCCTCTCACACCCATGGCTCCCTGTTATACAGAGAGAAGCATTTTAATTGATGTATGAATACTCTTTAACTGTAAGCATTTAGATTGCTCACTTTTTGAATAAAATTACAAAATACCAAGTTTAAGAGAAATACTACAGTAAGAGTTCACCACAAAATAAATACCTAAATAAAATAAAACTAAGTTTAAAGTTTTAAAGTTCTTTATGAAACTAAAATATCTCATAGCCTTGCCTGGCATGAGAGGAAGTATACTGAACTATTGAAGCAGCAGCTCCATGCCTTTACAATGAACTCTGTTGTTGATTTTTCATGGACAGAGTGAGATTTGAACTGTAAAATTATACATCATTAATACATCATAAATAGGTATTTTTATTGAAAAAAATAAGTTGTTTTTGTTTATTTATTTATATATTATGTTTTTATAGTTTTTGTTTATTTATATATTTATTTTAAGTCTCAAAAAATCTATCTCTTGCAATGGCTCTATTTGTGTGAATCTGGTCAAGAAACTGGTCAAGAACACATTTGATTTGTATTTCACCTAGAAATCAGTAGAAACAAGTATAAAAAAAAAGCAAAAGAAAGACTACTTGTTGCTGCTTGTTTACATTATTAACAAATGACAAGGAAAAACCCAGAGACCAATCAGAAGAGTCACTTACAGGGAGTCCTACTTTTCCCTGCTCACCCGGAAGTCCTCCTGGTCCTGGTTGTCCCTGTGCAAACAAGTATCAAATTTAAACCTTTGTTTCCACCACCCAAAGAAAACCCCACTCAACACACTGCTTTTTAAGTTATCATATAAAAACAAAAGCCACTTACAATTGGTCCATCAGGTCCAACACCCTAAAAAGACAGAGAAGGTTTATCTAATTATATATATTGTATTCCCATTTCTTTGTTTCTCCCATGTTTATGCAAAAACAATTTATATTTACTGAATATGATAATGTAATCTCATACAAAAAGTAGATTTCTTTTGGCTAACTGTAAAGATGCAGTGCGTTGGGTATACAGATCAGCTTTAAGCCTGTTTACAACTACTTATCTGCTCAATTGTGTTTTTATTAAATACATGGGCTTCAACGATGTCGAAAGATGGCAAGATTAGGCTTACCGCCCCTCCTCTGGGTCCAGGTTTGCCAGGTTCTCCCTGTTTCAATTACACAAAGTCACTTTTTAGACTTAAACATAATTTAATTATACATAATTAAATTTTATATATAAAAGTGTGTCCCAATTCACACTATTCTATGCTGTTTTTAGTATAAACAGTGTGATTAGCGTGTTCACAATGAAAAAGGGCACTTCAATGCAACAATGATGCACTTAATTAACTGAAAAAACAAAGTATGAAATGTTGGACACTTAATGCACTCAACTGTCGCATCTTTAATGGCGAACTGGAGGGGGAGGAGCTATCAGACTCCGATGTTGGATGACAAAATAACCTTATACAATTCATACACTAGACAGTTGACTACAAAGTGCATAGAATAAGTGTATATTGCATAATTTGGGACACAAATTATATATATAAATACTGTTCTGAAAGTCACAGAAAATCACATTGCCGCACGATTACTGTTATGAAAGTCACATAAAGCCAGAGAATCTTCACAGGCAGAGTTAGGTACTATGTTTGAGCATCGTTGAGTGAGTGAATCTGACTTCTGGCTGCACAGATCAGTGAGCACACAGACAGAATTAGGATCTAGTGGTCATGTGAAAATACTTATAATTCCCTCTGCAAGGCCAGTCAGTAGTACACTAATGAGCTTCTCAGTTTTCTGCTTCAGTAGGGACCAGAGCTCAAATCAGTCACTCACCTTTTGTCCTGGGGGGCCATCGAGGCCTAGTTCTCCTATGGGGCCAGTCAATCCCTGAAGAACACAGAGGGGAAATGTTACATTATTACCTCTTACAACAGCAAACGAGGAATCAAAAAGGATGTTTTAGGGGAGGGTTTGCTGCATGAAACTTTGTTTAGTCACTTTGCAAGCTGAAGTTTTGAACATTAACCAACCAGTGACTACTCAATTATCCACAGAATTTGATGCCAAAACAAAAACACCTGTCATTCAACACCTTTAGAAGACCTTCCGTCTCAAACCAGAGTTGATATATTTTCTTGACCCCTACTTCCATTTTCACAGGGAATCCACTTTAATTAAGTCCAGGCTTCGGGTGTCCGTGCTTAAACAAAAACCCTGTTGTCTGTTGGACAGACCTTTTTCCTGTGGTCTTTGCTTCAGTCCGGCATGAGAAATTCCCTGCATTTTTGACCCGTCTAAGAGTGCCGCCCACCATTGACTGAACTCTGCGAAACTGAGGTTTGTTTTCCCATAGAAGGCTATGTCAATTTTAACATGTTATGAAGAGAATCCACAAGATGTTTTAATGTGTTTCCTTACATCAGCTCCAGGTAATCCAGGAAGTCCAGCAGAACCTGGTTTTCCAAGATCTCCATCAGGACCCTTTGGTTTCAAATGACAGTGTGTAAGATGCAACAATATCCTAAATGTAGCAAATTATAATAATACACAAGAACACTGATATTTACAGCCGAACCATCTTCACCGGGGTCACCTCTCTCGCCCTGCAAGAAAAACATACTTTTAACTCTTCCATAATGCATAATGTTTTGGTCACTGAATTGCTTTATATTTTAAATTATATTCACATTTTTAAAATTCAACTCACATCAATACCGTCTATTCCAGGCACACCGGGAGGACCAGGAGGGCCGGCTCCAGCCCTCTGTTCAAAAATAGTAAGTAAACAATGCTGTTATATTCCTACAGTGAGGTCTTAGATGCATTAATACAAAGTTCATGCAATATGTAAACTGAAATGATCCAGCGGGTAAAAAAATATACTACAGATAATTTTTAAGTTTAAGCATGCAAAAAAGTTTTAGAAAACAGTTCAAACACCTGCCGTGCAACAGGTGTGCATTTGCATCTTACAACAAATGGACCATACAGATGCAAAAATGCAGTGCAGCCTATAATATCTTACAGCATTTGTGATTCTATTTATGAATGCAAATGGTTTATTTCTCTTATATATGCTGAAAATACAAGCGCTCACCGGAAACTCTGCCTCGGATATCTAAAAGAAAAAGAACAAAGAAGGGTTGCATTTACCTGTGCCGTGCAAATGATGGTTATCTCCAACAAAATCAGTAAAAAGGGCCCACGCACTCCTGCAGCGAGAGCCATAATTTCCCCAAAGACACAAAAGCCCTGTTTTCTGGGATCAGTTGGGTTGACGGAGCCCCCGACCAAGAAACCCAACTAAATCCCCTTTCAACTATCTGAACTCAAGGGAGACCATAACCACAGAGTACTTATACATATGCATGAGGTGGTTTGTTCTGGGTCTGTGATTGGAGGACAGTGGCACAGTGAGAGGAGGAGTCCGGCAGACATTCGAATAGATGGCGGGAAATTTTACTAGACGGTGACATTTGACCTCTGTTAACAAACACTATTTGGTCTTTGGGAGACAGAGTGGGAATGCTGGAAAATAGTAGAGCTGTACCATTACATTCCAGTTTTTTAAGTTTGGGTTTTAGTTTCTTAGATTAAAATTGTGATGTTAGACACGTCTCACCTCTCTCCTTGCAGGAAGGTCGCCGCATGTGTCTCTCTGCGGGATGTTTAAGTCGCAGTGGATCAGCATTGACTGCAGCTCAAACTGAAACAACAGACAAACAACCATCAAAAAGCATCATGATAATGTGAGCCTGTGGGGTGTATTGAATTGTTTAGCATTGGCTTATTATGTTCAAAAATGTGTAATGTTCAAAAAGAAATTGATTCGTTTTTTGTTAAAAAAGAAAGTTTTTATGCTGCTCTTTTAGTTGAAAATTATTTTTGCAGAACAATGAATTTAAATGAGTTTTCTTGTTGATGGTAGTGGTAGATTGAGCTCATAATATGTGAATATATCATTCGGTGACACTTAATTTAAAAGTTACACAAAAGTTACTGAGATCATTACTTTAAGGAAGACACAAGCCTCATGCCTGTCAATATAAAAATACACGCTAAGTTTTTACACTACCGTTTAAAAGTTTGGGGTCAGAAAGTTTTTTTTTTTTTTAAAGAAATTAATACTTTCATTCAGCAAGGAAGAATTACATTGATCAGAAGTAGCAGTAAAAACATTTATAATGTTACAAAAGATTTCTATTTCACAAATAAATGCTGTTCTCTTCAACTTCCTGTTTATCAAAGAATCCTGAAAAAAATGTATCATGGTTTCCACAAAAATATTAAGCTGCAAAGCTGTTTTCAACATTGATAATAAGAAGAAATGTAAATTAGAAGGATTTCTGAAGGATCATATGTCACTGAAGACTGGTGTAATGGCTGCTGAAAATTAAGCTTTGCCAGCATAGGAATAAATTACATTTTAAAATATATTAAAATAGAAATCAGTTTTTTTTTAATTGTAATAATATTTCACAATAATACTGTTTTTACTGTATTTTAGATCAAATGCAGCCTTGGTGGAAGTCTTTATTCTTTCAAAAACACTTAAAGGAATCTAATGTTTGAATGGCAGTGTACATACTTAATGTTGATAATAAAAAAATAAAAAAATTGTGGACATAATAATGCACCAGTTACCCGCAAACTTGTAAATTATAGCCTATGAAGTTTCTAAACAGCTACATAAATAATTCTGCAAACATATAGAGCCAAATGTATATTTATACAAAAATTGACCTTAAAGACCCTTGATTTTATGACATACAGGTTCTAAAAGAAAGAGAAGTGCAGATGTTTGGTTTGCATCTAACTCGACGTTGCAAATGATATTGCTGCGAGGAAAAATTCTGACTTTTTAAGCAGGTCAGCTGTCCGACTAGAACCTCACTGCTAGAATTCCCACCTATCTGCTGAAATGTATTTGGCAAAATCCAAATCCATTTAAAGAGACAGTCTGCTGCTGAGCCTTCAAACTGCCTCCAAACTCGCATCTCATAATGACACAAAAACATTGTGACTTCAAGAAGAAAATGTGCATATGTGCTTATAACATGATGTTTTGGACATAATGTATATTTTAAAGGGCTTTGAGGAACATTTAAATATCAGGGTACTAAAGCAGTAATGAAAGGCCTTATGGAAACACATAAATAGATTTGTAAATGTGTAAATATGGATAAGAAAGAAAAGTTTACCGGCACAGCTATTGCTGAATTGTCCTTCAGTTTTCCAATATGCGTGAATCCATCTAGGTTTACTTGTCCTCTGGGTGCCAGCTGCTGTGAATCTGTTGCTGTACAGTCTGTTATCAGGCTCACAGAACCTTTTTTGACAAGCAATAAAATCTTGTGCCACTGAGAATTGAAGAGGAGGGCTTGGTAAGGGAATAAAGCCATCATCTGTCTGTTCTCTTGGGTTCTGTAGAAGAACTCCACAGACAGGGCCTCCCCGTTGAGTCTGACTGCAAGCTGTTCGTTTCCATTCAGATCTTGCATTTGCCACAAATTCCAACTCTTACTCTGTGTATTTCCACTCATTCGATAGGTTGCAGAAAATGCAAATTCCTCAGGCAGCCCCATGGGAAATGCAGATCTGATTGAAGGAACAATATCAAGACTAAATTAGACCAGATTATGAACAGAAATCATATCTGGACTTATCCGACTGTACTGATTGAAGTCAATAACATATTTTACAATATTTAGATGACATGGAAACATACCAAGCTGAACATTATTAGCATGGTTACTATCTACAAAAAAATTGTAGTGGTTCTAATGGAACTGTAATGGTATCAGATGGTAATACCACACCATGGCACTGCCACTGAATGATAATTGTAATCATGTACCATAGTATTTTTGTCTCAGTCTTCAAGAAATTTGAAAAATACTGCTGCAATGTTCCATGGAATGATGCAATATTTTTTGTATTGGTTTGTTATCAATGCATTTAAAATATAATAATAATAATTATGCAAATAATTTAGTTTTCTAATTCAGCACCATGGACAGAGGAAGTTCCATCAATGACCAGTAGATGTCGCCACATGTCAACAGTACAAGTCATTTTCAAGCGTTGCCCTGGTTACTGGGTTAGAGATTTTCTGATAAGGGGGAAATTGCAAGCACTAAGTCTGTATCACTGGGGAAAGCAATAGAACAGGGGCTCTCAATCAGGGGCTCAATACCCACTAGGGGGCCTCAGCACATGTCCACGGAAGCCACAAGATGGCTTAAAATTATTTAAGGACAACACCAGGTTTAAAATAAGCTAACACAACTAAAATTTAAATATGAACTGGAATCATATTTCTTAATTTAATTTGTTGCCTTAACAACAGCCATTTTTAAGCTCCAGGGTTCTTATGATCTTGGAAAACCTGGATATGAGGGACATTTTTTAAATTTTGGTTTGTAGACCAGGAAAAGTAATGGAAATGATTGACATGACAATGACAAGTCATTTAATTTTTTTTTATAATGAACATATATTTGTAAAGCTTTTATATAAATATAAAAACGCTTTTTATATAAATTTTTAAAGCATTTATATAAATGTAGTCAAGCTCATTTACGATGTGTGAGTAAATAATAATGTTATCACAGACTAGAAAAGTCATGTAAAGTCATTGGTAATAAAAATTGTAAACCATGCAGGACATTTATTTATTGGAATTATGGAATTTAATTATTTAAATTACTTACAATCTTATATAATTATTTTACTGTATTGCCACTCCAATGAGAAGCCTTGGAGCTAAAAAGGTTGTGAACCACTGCACTAAACCGTCAGTTTGGTGAGTCTTATAAGCTGTCATATAAAGACTCTGGCTGCTGGCTGTGCTGTAAACCTTTTTTTTTTTTTCATTTCTATTTACTATTCCATGTCTACCACAACAGTTCTATTTCTCAAATTTAATTAGCAAGGCAGGTATTCAAAGAGTGCTGATATAATGTATATGAGTGAGTAATAATTTGCTCATCCATTCAACAACACTTATTAATTCAGGAAAGCAATTGTGATGTTCAGAGACACTCATATTGATTATTCTTTGACTTTGATTGTAGCGTAACTGGCAATATTGTATATAAATGAACTTCTTGTCTATTGAACTATTGTAAGAAACTAAATCACACTCGGAGTCACACTTGAAGCTGTTCCAAGTCCTTAAATTAATTAAAACTTCTGCAATATTTACTTGGATTTTCTTAAAAAAAATACATATATTTTTGGAAGCAGACTCCAAATATAGCTCTATCCAAAATTAATATGTCATGCAAACACTACTGTTACCACACAAAAGCAGTTTAACATCTCCATAACTGGTCACCATTCAGGTAAAACAGCTTCTAGTTTCCATTTTGGGATATCTCACTGTTCTTGAGCATACGTTTTAGTCTCCCCCAGGTGGAGGGTCTCTGTTAGAGGTGTTTACCTGGTGTTTATCCTGAAGTTGAACTCGGGGCCAATCTTATATGCAATATGCTGAGATGTCGTTCCAGGCACCTTCTTCACCGTCCCTCTCCTGGCCAACTCGGCAATGTTGAACTGAGTCATTATGTAAAATCCTATGGGATATTAGAGAGACTCAAGTTAAAGAACAACATAGTTAGTCCAAATGTATGTACTGTTTTTGAGATGTTTACCTGGAAATAGGCCATTCCCATCTTTAGTTTGAGGACACAGAGTTTGGTCCGTCTGCAGGTGACTCATACTGGAAAATGGCATGACTTTGAAAAAAATGCATTATTGTTAAATAGCAAATGAAACCTTTTTTGCAACTTTTATTGCTTTGCTCAGTCTTTCCTTTTGTTTCTTTACTCCTCCCTGTGTTTGAGAGTTTGATGAACACACATTGCTTGTGGGAGATCTGTGTTGACTGTGTGAGCAACACAATCACACCGTGTTTGAAAAGCTGAGCCACCTTTGTCTCCTTTGAGTTCAAGCATTTTATTGCTTTCACTTTTTTTTCCCAAGTCTGGCTAAAATCTTAATGCTCTGAATTCTTATTTTATACCAAACCAGAAACCCACCAAAATCACTTATAGTTCTAAATCATTGATCTTGAAGGTACTTACTGTGTGCATGAAGACCAGTGCAGAAGCATCGTTTGATCACATTACACAAAAGGTAGAGACAAACTTCCCTAGAAAATGAAAGTATATGAATTGCTTGTGATTGAGAAATAAATATTTTTAGTATGCATCAAATATATAAATATAATGTAAATAAATACATTTGTGCATTTAGGTATCCAATTATAATTAAAGAATAAATTTGAATGAACCT